TCAATTTAACTAGAATGTATTCATAAGGCTATGAAAATATAAGGCTGTGAAAATATATAACAGTTCCTATATATGTTACACATATCGGAGTCACGAAAAAAAGATGTAAGAGTAGTAATGAACGAAACGACAATGTTAGCAACAGAATAATAATTATAGAATTAAAATATTGAAATGAATGATATAAATGATTAAAAATATATGATTATAAAATATTATAGAATTAAAATATTGAAATGAATGATATAAATGATTAAAAATATCTGTAGAAAACTTTATATATATATAAAATTTATATATAAAAATTTTGAGTATTTTGAGAAAATTATTCTTATTTCTTTGCATTTTTATTTCTATATGTGATTAAGAGTGCAAATAAAAATGAAATTAAAGCAATATATTTAAATACTCAAGCAGTTAAGGCATACATTAAAAATTTATTCTATACGAAGTGGACTTAATTTTTGTTGATATTTTTAATCTCCAATAAAATAAAAGTTAAGGAAATTACTTCTAATGTTAACTTGTTGCATTTCGGTATAATCATATATAAAAAGGCAAGGGTGGAATGGTAAGCAATAAGTATTATTTTTACTATTTTTATTTTTTATTTAATTGCTTAAATTAAATGTTTTTGATTGAGATATATACATGTACATATATACTTATACATGTATAGTTTTGAACATTTCGATATTATATTATATTAATATATGTATCATGATTTTACTTTATAATATATTATATAATTACACTTTACGTCATAATGTACTGTACTTCTGAAGAAAAATACAATGTTCGAAGAAAATAAAGTTTCATAATAAATAAAAATAAATAACTTAAATATACATACGAAGTATTGTATAATCCACCTACATGTTTCCGTAATTAAAGAATTTGAAACATTTTATGTGTAGGCATGTTGTGAAAATTTTAACATTGAAAATGTTTTTACAGAGACATTCCACAAACATTTCAATATTGTGAATTATTATGCAGAAGCATTCCACAGAAATACCTAACTATAGTTTATTAGTATATTCAGAAAGGTTGGCATTTCCATTTAATTAATTTACTTCCTTTGACTTGGCGATGTTTTCTATAACTTATATTAGTTCCTAATGCAAGCACTTAACGGTCCATTTTGGAATATGCACAAAAAAATAATAAATTAGCAAAAAAATGGAAGATGTATCACAAATTACTGTATTATGTTTAATGTTTGTAAGGGGTATGGAATTTAAAAGAGCACAAATTACATACATAAGTGATTTGAAAAAAGGGTTTTGCTTCGTTAATTTTATAAATTCAATTAAGTACGAAAATTCATGTTAACTACATATTTTTTTGTTATTACTTTATTAATTCCACCATCATATATAGAATATTGCATGATCATTTAGGCGTGACAAATCTCGTTGGATCGCACATCCTTTGGCGGTGCTTTAAAATACTTGCATGAGATTGTAGCAGGTGACGTATCATAGATATATGCGTATGAATTGGAAGGTAAGCAGCAGTCGACTGTATGGGTGTTTCAAGATGAATCATATTCAATAAAAATTGTTCGCACTCGAGCACTTTGAAACAAATGGTCGCTTATTAGAGAAACATAAAACTGTCAATTTCAAATGGTATACAAACATTTGTTTACCGTTTATCGGAAGTCTTCAGTGAAATATGAAAAACAAATAAGCGTCGTTGGATCATTCTCTATCTCCATCAAGACAATGCGAGTATTCACAATTCTCGTCTAATAACCGACTATTTGAACATTTTGAACATTCAAAAAATATAATTGATGGGACATCTGCATACAGTTCTGATTTGGCCATACAGTCAAATGATTTCTTGTTCTTGAAGTTAGGAATAAATTGCATGGAGAACGATTTTTGTTGGCGGAAAAAGCATGCATTTAAAAACTATGTTTTGGAGGTGTCTGAAGAAGACTGGGAAAAATGCTTTGACAAATGGTTCGATCGCATGCAAAAGTGTATTAATCGTAAAGGAGAATACTTCGAGAAACAATAAAGCAATTTTTAACGACAAGTTAATACTTTTTCTTTATTAAGCTCAAAATATAAGTATACAACAATAATTATCTTAAATCTATAGCCTTTCGGATTGATCGCTTTTATTTATATATTTATGTAAATATTTTTTTATTTATTGTAGAACTTAATTAGTTTTATAAATTTCTAAATAAAATCATTTTTTTAATATACAATTTAGTCATAAAGTCAATAAATTTCAAAAGACGATAAACAATATAACAATATACAAAAATCAAACATTCAGACAGTCAATGTACTGTGTAAGAATATATGCAATTTCTCGAGCCCTCGTCTGCATTTTAACAGTGTTATCAATATAACGATAAATTTGATATGCCAATAATAAGTAATATTTTGAAAAGAATAAAATCAAAAAAAAGGCTTCTAAAATAATTATGGAGAGAAATATCGCTACATAATATTTCTCTAGCTCTACAGCCTCCATCGGTTACAGATATGTTGATAAATTTCATATATGGTTAATATATTATACCATGAGGTTTGTAAAACATTAATTAAAGATCAAAGAAAAGGTTTCTATATAAATCTATGCTCATTATAATTACTGTTATAAACTACTAAAGTCTTGACCTTTTTTTTAAGATTCATTAAAATCGCGTAAAATATTATTATATTAATTTAATTTATTCTTCTGTAACACTTTTATATTAAACATAGTTTTGTTCTATGGCAAATATTAAAAAGTTGTTGACCCTTCACACAAAAAAATAAAATAAAATAAAGAGATACTGAAAAAAGTTCTTACCCGTTGACACAATTTCCTTGACAGAATTTGGTATTGTAATTGAATTTATCCCAAATTTAGGCCTTTTTCAAATATTTATCCTCATTAATATTGCAGGAAAGTGTTTGCCCTTTCCCATACCGAGTTCACTTCATTATTTATGAAGACTAAATTTTGCACAATTTTTCGCTTAATTAAATTATTAAAAATAATTTTTTTTGATGTAATGTCACAGTGTATAAAATTATTCGGTTTAGAAAGTTCATTTAAAATTAATACGGAAGACTCTCCTTAATGGATTTTAATGCTTCAGTAAATAATTGGGCCTAAAAGGTTGTTGATACTTCTTAACGTAATTATTGAAATATTTTAACAATATAATAACAAAATAATTTTTTAATATTAAAGTTTTGAGACTTAAAAAATGTAATTTTTTTATGTTACAATTCTTGGAAGGTGTAGTAATATTGAGCATTCATTCTGAAACTTTTGTAAAATTATCAAGTTAGTGATAGTTAGTGAAGTTAAATTTTTTTCTATTCTTTTTTTGTTGAAATATTTTCCTTTTAATTAATTTTCAAATTTCCAAATCTTTTAAAATATGTAATGAATTCTTGTATAAGAATTTTGTTTTTAAACTGTCCTAGCACAATTTATTGTATAAAAAATGACAAGGAAATACCTTTTCTTACTCTAAAAAACTGCTTCAATAACAATGTAAAATGCATCTACATCTGCATTATTTTGGGATTAAATGTTGCTTTTTCAAATAAATATTTTAAAAGTTTAAGATATTATAATAAATTATGGAATGCAGACCATGTTTTTTCTTCTTAAAAGTAGGATTCGCATAATCATCGAAATATATACAATTTTTAATAAATTTGTTTTTATTTTCGTGATGATTGGATCCTCTATTAAGGAACTAATAATTGGATTTCATTTCAATTCATAAAATTTTCAATATAACTTTTACTTATTTGGCATAAAAATTGATGGTTAAAGTAATGATCTTGGATAGTCTTTCACAATTTTTAGAAAATGAAGTACTATGTAATGGGTACTGGGTAAAAAATAGTCGGTTCTATATAGTGGATCTTTCCTGCATTATAAGAAGGGTCTAAATATGATATATTCACAAACAGTTCCAGCAGCGCAACTAACATAATTTCAAGAAGTGAGAGCATACGCTGAGACTTTTGTTTTCCTTGAACAGAAGTAAGTACAGTTTACACAACACACAATATCATATCATATCACACTACAGTATCATAATGGTTTAGCAACGCATGGTATGAAGAGTAGAGGAGGAGGATGATGGCATCAAACCAATACTAAAACAAGAAAACTCTGAATAACGCTATAATGCATCAGCGAAAAACATGGATAACTCTCGAACTTTTCTTCGGTATGAATAAAAGAAAAGTTTGCAATTTAAACCTAACACTTCCAATTATATTTTATCAAAATTTAAAGCTGTAATTTGAAGACTTTCATTACTTTATATACAATTATCCACAATATAATAATCTGCAGCCGACAAAATTAAAGTTTGATGTTAAAAAGAAGAAAATAGAAGTGGATTGGCAAAGTGACTCTCGACCCAGAGCTCTACCTAAGATATGGCGAAGAACGATAGGGTATGAGTTTAAAGACGCACAGTACTTCTGGAATCAAATTGTGAAAGAAACATACAACATACGTTTTTGTCAAACTATATTGTTGGATTCTATTAAATAAATGTATAGACCAAAATAGCTAAATCTATTTCCTTTTATTTTGCATTTAAAACTTAATAAGTTTAGCAAAAGTGGATCTATCTAATTTCGTTCGGAAGTGGAAAAATCGTTATTCGCTCGCCCATATCCCGAAAACCATACAATAGACTTTATGTTTTGAAAGTTTTATTGAGCCTTTTTCTACAAATAACAATTTTGTGTCAATTTTAATAAACATTTTTATTTTTGAAATAAAAAATACAGAATTTAAATCAAAATTCAAAGGAGCATTTTTCTGGAATAATTATGCTGGGATTGTACCAAATACTGCCTAGGAGTCTGGTTTCCCGTACTTTCCTTTCTATTTGTTCTTCCAAATTGGTAAGCCTTAGATCACTTGGCATATCTTCCTCTGTATAGAACCGATCAGCTAAGGTTATGCGTCGTAGATGGCAATTGGAATGCATACTAATTCGAAGCATTTTTACATACTGCGTGCCATATGCATTTAACGAGAGCATATTCAAGTCAATTCGCAAACGATTCCAATGAGGAACTAAACGCATGGGCACGATACATAGTGCCGGCGTCACGCGAGCAACGGAACGATAATTGCAGGCACGAAATCTACGCCTTATGCCTTTGCTGTCTAAAATCTGAAAAATAGAAATAAATATATATAGATTATTAAACAATTGAAGGTATAATGTAACTATATAGTGCGATTAGCTTTACAAGAGAAATTTGATGTCAACATTAGAGGTTTAATTTAAAGCTTTACTTAATCGCTTAAATTTTAAATGATTAAAATATTTAAATATATAAATTTATTTATATATTTATTTATATATTTTTACATATTTTTATATATATATATTATACATATATATATATAATTTAATTATGTGATGGACTTACCTGCCATTCAAATGCCATATACTGCTTAAGATTTTTAATAACAATGTCTAGACAAGGCAGTTCCAGTGAGAGTGTCTCATTAATACATGGTGGCGATGATATAAATGTTTTATCGATATGTATTCCGGTTAATTCTATTATCAAAGTTTTTAAATACAAATCGGATATACGTCTAATTTTACCAAATGATGGAGTTTTGCTCCAGTACCAAAGCGGCTTTCTGCTAACGCTATTTAATAACGTGAATATTAATGGCGGACGTTTTTCTTCCATGTTCAAAATTTTGAAGTTTTATATTTAAAAAAAAAAATTGTTTTGAAACCCTTTTATACACTGTTTTTTATTTTCTAAAAACTTATTTTTAAATTGTTCATATTTATTAAAGAACACAATTGTCATTTTATTTGGAAATAATATTGCTTTGTTTATGCGATGGATACATTTTTCTATTTGACTACTATGTTGAAGTTAGTTGAGTCAGTGTACTTGAGCTCTTTTACTCTCTACTAACTTTCCCATAACCCCCCTCTACGCCTTAACTGGATTATTGGTTATCATTTCATTTGACTAAGCAATAACTGATCTCAGATCTGCATACCTGGTTTTTAACCATTCTAAGATTTGATGTCGCGATGTTGGTAAGCCTGTCCTTTTTTGTAAATAGTTTCATGGCTCTATCTATTATGCATTTTTTGATCGGATTAAGCTTAAGTTTCCTGAGGATGACATTTAACCTAAAGTACCATGGCACCTGGAGAAGTCTTCTTAGAGCCCGGCTTTGTACAATTTCCAGCTGGTGAATAATAGTGTTTGAGGCGCTGCTGAACGTGACATAAGCGGTTGTGCGTGAAGAAGAATTTTGGCACAGCTAATTCTTTTCAGTTTTACGTGGTTAAACCATGTGAATCATTTGTCCACCGTGACACCTAGATATTAAATGCTATTCTCTCAGTTCATTGCCATATTTCCCACAACGTTCGTCGGCAAGGCATTTGACGGTGAAAGGAAAATTGTTTGATGTCGGCAGAATATACGGATCCTTCTACAAACATACTAAAAGACATTAAGTTAAGCATTTTAAATACTTACATGACAAATTTTTAGATACACAAACTTCGCTTTATGAAGTCATAAACGATTAATGGATAACAAATTTCATTTCACCAAAAAAACTTTTTTTTTTGTTTAATGTAAAAGAGTGATGCTTACTTTGGATAGCATCTTCAAATAAAAAAGTATTTAGACAGATTGGTAAAATTTATTAAATCGTTGAGAATATAAGAGCTTTGTTTTATTAAATTAAATTGTGTTACTTATGTTTTTGTAATACCTTTCTAGTCTCTTCTATAAAAAATGGAATGTTTTGTATTTTAATTGAACTTCACTCACCTTACTTATATATTTAAAAATAAAAATAACTGATAAACTTATAATAGGCAATTCATATAGATATATTTATATGATAATAAAGTCATTTGTGCAACTTAAAGTCCACTTTTCAACTTGACACACTATATAGCATTGCACGTCTTCTCTTTGATTTTAAAAAGCAGAGTTTTGCCTGTAGGCAATACTATTTTATTTAAGTTTTACTCAGTCTAAATCTGTAACTAGATTCTGACGTTCTGCATATTTTCCTTTCTTTTTCTTTCAAGATACAAAAAGTACATTCTAATTAAAAAATATTTTAACATTTTTTTTCGTCTTAATTACTTTGATTTCTACGAATAAAAGAATAAAATTTAAAAACTATTGCTTTGAATTTAAAGTTCTCTGCAATTAAATAAAATTTCAATTTCGTTAAATTAATTTATCTTAAATAAGATTTTAATTTGATTATTAGAAGGAGAAAAATATTTAAATTTTATTTGTAACTAACATTGTCTTTATGCTAAGAAGGATTTTAAATGTAATCATTTATTTTTATTTTAATTGAAACTTATTCAATTATTTCTTCATCTTTTCTGCAATAATTGAAACTCAATTTATTTTGTTAATTAAAATAACTAAAGAAAGTAGTCAATACAATGAAAGATATGTGGATTTAAGAGAATACGGAAAACATTCTATAATATGTGAAAAGCATATGAAAAATAATCACCTAAATTTTCTCTTTAAGAAAATGATATGTTGATTTTTGGAAAAATAAATGTAATCAAACTTTCAACAAATGGCATTTATTTGGAGTAATTAATAAAATCAGAAATTAAAATATTTTAATTTTAAAGGATTATCCTTTTTATAGTTTTTATTTCGTAGCACTGCTTTTGTACCATTTGTGAATATTATTAATCATCATCGTCGGTTTCTTTAATTTTTTGAAAAATTTAGTGTCTTATCTAAACACCTGAAACAAATTCGGTTGTGTCTTAAACAATCCATCTCGATCTAACAACAACTTCTTATCTTAATATAATACCATGGCAACTTATATTTGGGCCTAGTTTTCTTTTATTTTTTTGAAATTCTGACCAAGTGCCTACGGGCTTAGCGGTGAATGAGAACAAAACGAAGTATATGTCGGCTATTGGTAGTGACTGATAATCAATCAAGGATTTTATCTACCTTGGCATTGCTCCAACAAACAACAACGATGTCAGCCTGGAGATCAGACTAAGAATCACCTCCCATCGGTGCTACTATAGACTATGTAGGCAACTGGGATGTAGAGCTCTCTTTCCCGACAAACAAAACTTACGCTCTATAGGTCGCCCATCCCGCCTATGCTTCTGTATGGTGCAGAAGTATGGACGTTATCACAGAAAGATGAAGCAGGACTAGAAGTGTTTGAAAGAAAAAATCTTCAGGAATTTTTTTATCTTCTATGAGTTGACGACAACTATCATATCAAAATTAACCACAAGCTGTACAAGCTTTATGACGACATTGATATAATTCAGTGAATTGACATCCGGTGACTTGGTCATGTCGTGCGAATTAATAAAACTGCTTTAGCGAAAAATTTATTTGAAGTAAGGTGAAAGGTGCAAGTAGAAGCGAAAGGTTGGAGGAAGAAGGTCTATAGGTAGTAGACCGTCTCTCTGGTGGAGTGATTAAGTTGAGGAAGCAGAAACCGGACTTGATGTACGAGACTCTAAACGAAGCGCATGCAGCAGAGGCGAAACCAAGTAACAGTTTGTTATAAGTGAGTAAGTAGTTACTATGTAATGACAAAAAAGTATTTACGTCTAAATGCCTAGAGATAAATTAATCATCAAGATATCCGTAAATAGAACAAAATAACATATAATAACTAATAAACAATTTATTTATTATTTTTTTGTTTAAACATTAATTTTCACTTTACTTATGTTAATGAAGTATATGAAATACATTTTTACGTTATTTATCTTAAGCCTATAATTTTCGAAAAATTATTTAATATACATGTACTCAATATTAAATATTAAACTGCAGCATGTATTTTTTTGATCGATTTTCTAGTTTATTTAACAAGGAAATTTTACTGCACACACACTCCCCCAATCAATTTAACTTAAGTCAACGTGTTTACTTTCTGTGTAGATTTCAGATAACCAACATTAAGGTGTAATCCTACCGATAATAGACTTTTCTAAGTGTACACATATTTCACCATAATACTTTCGCAATGTAAGTAACTTTGTGCCACCCATTTTGTATCTACAAATTTTGTTTTATATTCGTTGATTTACAGTGAAGCATGGCAAAGTGACCAAGTAAGTAAAATAAATGGAAAATTCCTCTTAGCAACTCTTTATTTTTGTTCGATAAAAAATTTAACATTTAAATTCTTATGTAGCAATATCAAGTAAGTTTATTGTAATAATAAATGATATTAAAAGATTATTTTATTATATTTAAGATTTTTTTTTTGCTTTTAGTTTATTCTATAGGAAGTTCCACTGTACTTGAATAATATCTTTTAATATAAGAATGCTTTGACAGTCACCTAAGAGATACTTAAGTTGTATTGAGTCAGAATATAAGTAAATGTATATAAAACAGAATTCTTGCAATTAATTAAACAAGAAAGGAAGAACACATTTTGAATGAGATAAACTCCTTCTTTGTTTGCAACATAGGCGTAGCCACGAGGATAATATAGAGCCCCGAGAATGTAGTTTAAAATGGTATTTAATAATATAAAGAAGGTTCATGGGTAATAGTCTCTCTCTTTAATATGATCTATAGATGGGTAACTGAATCCAAATGCAGTAACTGCAGTAACTGAATCCAAATTCGAAACGTTTAAATGGAATTATCTTTTTTGTAGTAAACAATAGCATTATAGACATTAAGTGGAACATTCGAATTTTTTCACTCCAATAACTTTATTTTATTGCTTGTAAGGTTTTATTAAAAGGTGATTTCATTTACAATAATTGTTTCGAATCCCTCCCCCTGCGCCCTTGACTTGAAATACATTTATTTCTAGAATATATTCTTTGCTTGAAATAATGAAATATATAGTGCTAGTGTACATAAAATGTATATAACTTTACACAATCACTTAAATGGCTGTATTAGTAGTTAATTAGAGAACAAACATACTTGATGAAATTTTTTTCAAGGAAATTGAGAATATCTGTTAGTTTGCATGCTTTATTGGGCTGACCATAAAGTTGATACGAATGTAGTATAAAGAACAAAAATTCGCAGAAATATATTTATATATTATTTAAAAGCTCAATAGTCACTTTAAATATACAACATATGAACACATTTATGTATTCAAATTGAGTTACAAGCCAGGTAAATAAGTGCAGTGGAAAGAGGTCGAGAAGAGCTCTTCAGCTAGAAAGGTTTTTTTGATTATATATATTTTGTTGACTTATTTGCGGATTGTATCCTTTTATTAGCGGAATTGATGAAAGCGACTATTTTGCTACTTTCCGAATTAGTAATTTTTTGAAGTGAGTTAAAGAATATTGCGCTCACACGCTTAAAACTGAATTATTCTAGATAGTAGCATTATAAAGGTCAAAATTGTATTTCTTTGACATCAGTAACCTAATCTAAGGGAGTGGCTATGCAGCATGTACAACCTAGCAACATATCGTCAAATAGTTTGGTGCACCGTATTTGTCTGCAGAAGTGAATAAAATTATTATTATTTTAGTACATTATTATAATTATGTTGGGCGTCTTACACTGCGATCTAGATATCTATAGCACCAATAGTTAAAGTTATTTTTTAGTTATTGTGTCCCTTTAAAAAAAAATCATTTTTAACTTTTTCAGCTTATTACAAACTATAACTTTAATATTATATACACAGAGAAATAGGCTCTAACTACATACTAGTTAAATTAACCTAATCATTCTGTTGGAAAA